CTAAGGCCGCGTCGATAACTGACGGACTCTTCACTCTTGACCGTCCTGAGGGACACGTATACTTTCACCATGATGACCGTTTGATCAAAATAAGATTGTTCGGGGACGAAGTTCGAGAGGTTGCTGCTCATTACATCGTTGAACACACGGGAGTGAACCCTACTACACCCGGCAGGGTTACCCTGACCGGAACGGCAGACTACGTGATCCCGGAGATCATCCAGACCATAGTAGATGACAATTGGTTAGTACCAGCACAACACATGGAACTGGGCCTTCGGCCCATAAGGATTTTCGCAATTGTTAGCGAGATAACCAGCTATTTCATATCGGAAGATCACTTTGTTTGTTACCCAGGGCGAATCATTCGTCCCGAAATGGTGAGCACGGATGGAATTGATTCAAAGAAACGGACTGACGAATATGCCTTGGACTGCCGCATTCGTGCGGCTGTTAAGACAGACGACATCATAGAAAGATGGGCCCACAAGATGGGCAGGAAAGTACAGAATGACGTCCGTTGCCACGGTGCTCTAATACATGATGCCTTAACTTGGCTACAGGATAAGTATCCTGACCCCGGTACCAATCTCCAGGACAAAGAAGATGGTCCTTTCCGCACTGCATGCGGATTATATGGCGTCGCTGCAGCAACTGCTGCCAGAAGTATAATACAATTCATGAACGGTAGGATTAATGATCCTGACCACGACGGCGAAGCCGAGATCGTGGGGCCACGTGCGCCCGCTGGACCAAAGGCAAGACCTTTGTCTCGTACGCCGTCTCTTCGACCTGGCATCTCAAATGCTCAGGCGTCTGAGGACGCTGCTGGTTCCCCACGTTCTGTCGCCGGCTCAGCCGTGACGACCAGAGGTTAACCTACAATATCCCAACACGAGGGATCGGTCGGAATTGCGACGCGCGGGCGATGCAGCCATGGATGATGCCGCAGACGCGGCTGCTGATGCTGCCGCCGGCCTTATGCTGTCCGCGGCGGTGGACGCTGCCGCAGGCGCTGCCTCGGATGCTGCCAGCAGTGTCGCAGGATACGGCTACGAATACAACCGTGACAAGTCCTACCCGTGCTGCGTGAATGGAATCTTTGTAGGGTACCGCATCCACCGGAACAGGATCACGTGGCTTACTGACGATGAATGGTACAATCTGGATTACTGGACATGGCTATCAAAATGGGAGCATGAACAACATTTCCCGCCGAGAGAGACGGCACTGGTTGGTAATGCTGACAGAAAGAGGGCGGTCTCGGACGCCTCGTGGCGTAGACGTGCAGATGGGAGGATCGGTGCCATCAAACCCGCCTCCTCCCACGCCGCCTGGTCAATACTCATAGAACGATCACAATCGGTTCGAGGACCTCAACCTCAACTGAGCGTGGCCCGCGTGACTCCGTCCGCGGCAGGCGCGCGCAAAACACTTTACCCACGCGCTAAGCGTGTTGGGCGCGGACCTCTCTACTGGTCGGCTGAGCCGGTCCAGCGGAGAGAAACTATTTATAACAATGGTGGGAAACGTCGAGCCTTTTTGGCCCTTGGCCCCCTGGCAGCCACCGTTGAGCCGTAAAAGCTTTTTCGGGTTGGCTCCGGTGGTTGTGCAAATGCACAGGCCGGGGGTGCTGTGGCTGGATGGGCTCTGCGCGCCCCGCCGCGGGGGGAGTAAATATGCTCCTCTCCGCCTCATACTCAATTAGAACTTAATTTTTGTTTGCATGCATTGCACTGTCCGCGTGAACTGCAGCTGCGTTTCCGCAGCCATCCGACTGCTCGAGCCAGCCGACCTCGGCTGGCAGGAGAGAAAAGGAGCGCGCTGGGGTGCGTGGGCGGCTCGTCGTCGTCCGTCTTCGGCCGACCTCCTCCTTTCATATTCCTGATGGAGTAGTCTTGCTTAACGGATACTTGTCTTATCAATGTCTCATCCCGCCTCCGCTCTCCCTGAGCAGAGTGAACATGAGATCTTAATTCCTTTGTCATCTTGCCCCGATTCTCAGAGGAAAGACTATATTCCTTTTGGGTTGTGTCGCATCGCGATCGAACCATGGCCATTGCTGAGTATCCCTTGTATGCTATACCATGCAAGCCGTTGGCTTGCTCATCTCCTTTTTTTTGCCGGCGAGTGACTTGTTTGCTATAGTCTCCGCTCAGGCCTGTCAGAGGCCACGACCGACCGAGACGGCGACTAGGAGTAGTGTGATTCAAGCTCATTCCCGAGGGGTTTGCGTTTCATCCCTTGCCCACCGCTGCCGTTTTATTTCGAACTGGGGCCTTGGCCTTAGAGCTGCGCTCCTCACGAGGCCGCGAGTAAGAAGATCCATCGACAATCTTCCATAACACAACATGCGCATCTGTCTAACCACGTGTCTCCGTACATTTCCACGTGCTCCCATTCCCTTTCGCACGCATCCGAATAACATACCACGTGCTCTCTTAAACCGATTTCTTGCTTCTGGCTTGCGCATGCTCCCCCTTGCTTCCATGTGTTGCGGGTCCACGCGTTGATCTTGATGTTTTTACTTTTCCCAGTTGTCTTCTGGAGTTCGAAGCCCCCTCGTTCGCTGCTCGTTCCCTCCATCGTCTTCGATTTCCCGCTGCCTGCTTCCCCTCGACCCGCGCTTTCGCCTCCCTGCCCCCTCTCACTCTCTCGTCGCCTGATCGTCCTCGCCCTCCCCCCTGGCCCTGGTCCCGTCCCCTCGTCCGTTCTCCCCCTGCCCTCGCCCTCCCCTGGCTCTGTCCTGCGCTCTGTCCGTTCGCCCTCAGCGCTTTGTCCTGCGCTCTGTCCTGCGCTCTGTCCGTTCGCCCTCCCCCGGCTCAGTCCTGCGCTCTGTCCTCCCCCGGCTCTGTCCTGCGCCCGCCCTCCCGGGCCTGCCTCCCCCACCCCGGGTCGCCGCTTCGTCCCCCGCTCTTCCCCCTCTTCACGGCCCTCCGCCCTCTCGTCGGCCCTGGCCGCAGCCCCCCCCCCCCCCGCGCCCTGGGCCTTGCCGTCGCCCCCCCCCCCTCCCGCGCGCTCGGCTCTGGCCCCTCAGACCCCTCGGCCCAGCGAGCGCGGGAGCCTCGCCCCCCCCCCCCCCCCCCCCGCAGGCCCGCGCTCTCTCCGGTTTCCCCCCCGCCCGTGGCCCGGGAGCCCTTCGCGGGCCCGCGCTCTCTCGCTCTCCCTGGCCCCCGCCCTCCCGCTTTCCAAGGGCCCCGCCCCCCCGTCCGCGCGCGCGGCCCGCCCGGCAAGCCCTGGGCCCCGCCCCGCGGGCCCCTGGCCTCGCCCGCCCTTCCTGGCCCCGGAGCCCTTGATCAGCCGGTGCCTCCGTGCTCTGGAGCGCAGAGCCCTCCGTTCCTGGTCGTTCGTCGTTCGTTCGTCGCTCCTCCGGGCCCCCCGCCCCCTCCCCTGCCCCCCATGGTGGGGTGGCTTCGGGAAGGAGACAGGGATGGCCCGAGAGTCTGAGCCCTCCTCACCCTGCTGCTGTTCCTTGCTGCTTCCTCGTGCAAGGGCTGGTGCCTGTGTGCTGATTGCATTTTCTCTTCTTCTTTCTCTCTCTATTTTTTATATCACATACGCATACATAAACATGCTACAAACAGGGAGACAATTGGGCGGACATCGCGTCGTGCCAGTGCTTTTGAAAGAAAGCTTTATCGTCAAACTCCCGTGAATCATTTCCGTTTTGGGGGAGTTTGCATGAGTGGTTTCAAAGTAGCTACAAGTGTGTCCCAAAGTGCGTGCGCAAACCATGATGGGTCTATGCCACCTCGAGCGGGAGATACAGTTGGTGCGGCGAACAATTTGCACGAATGTGTGAGGACAATGCGAGTCAGAGTTTTCTACCGCAGTGCGTTTTCTCGAGCACAGGTTGAGACTTAGGAGTTAATTCCGGGCGATTGGTCATGCGGCTCTCACGCGCGTATACGATTCACGGGCACGCTTGCGCGAGCAGCCAGTGGCCGGCGGCCCCTGCTGTTTTTGTTTGTTCCCCCCCAGGCCACGGTTCAATATGCGTGCTCTTGCTTACTCCAGGACGGTGCACGTAGCATATCCAAATTGACTGGCGTTAAGTCGGGCCTGTTCCTCTACAGGAGGAACATTCAGAAATAGTCAAAACATAGGCTGGGGAAGATTTTTATGATATTTTTTAGCATTCGGGGGGTACTTTTGGGCTATTTTTAATTCTTCGCCCAAAATCCGCCTGTAGGAGGACATGCCCGACCTAAGACTGGCGGCGAGCAGTTGTATCATTTTGACCTTAAGTTGCATATCGTCCGCTGCCAACTTATACATCTGCATATTTTTTATATAGATCGTTGTGCTTGATGACCGATTTCGGCGTGAAACTGTTGAACCGAACTCGGCGCTGAAGCTGGACACGGATGTGGCCATGTTGGTGCGACTGCATGCTGGACGATCCGTTGCTTGTCGCTGTCCAGGCCACGTAGCCGATGGGTCTTGGGAGGGAGCCTGCCCTAGACTCGGCTGGAGTCGAAGGCGTGAAAGGGAGCAAAGTTGCATCCAAGCTGAGTTTGGTAGGCACAGTGTATTCACATCGTGGCCAGATGTAGTACACAGGCAGAGCGTATGCTTTCGTTCCTGACCACGTTTCCCATTCGGATGGCGCGTATGGATAATTTAAAGAAGCACGTGCGTCGTTAGCCCAGTTCTTGTTCCGCAAATTTGTTGTCTGCCATCCTGGACGTGTTCTCGTCATTGGTGCTGCATCTGCCACAAATGATGGCAAGTTTGCCATTGGCATCGACGGTCTTCTGTGGGTTTGTCTTGCTTCAGGCTCAAAGTTGCATCGTCATCGTGTGTTCATAGTCGTTTCCTTGTTGCTATTGTCTGATTGTAGGTACGCGGTTGTTCAGTTTATGAACGGCTTAGCCACGTGCGATGCCAGTGTATAATTATTTTTCGTGGCGCCAGGTTGTTACATTCGTGCAATGTGATATTGTGCATTATAGTTCGCATACATTGCAACACACGAGCGTACAAAAAACGTTGCCGAGGAGGGGCCAGTGCGTACTTGGCGTGCGGCTCTGGATTCCGCGCTGCACTGGGCCGCGTAGTATGTCGCGGGGCAAGCGCAGTCTCTGGTAAAGGAATGTGTGACTCGGCCTCTCTGTTTTGTTCTCGATGCTCATACTGCGTGGGGCTGATTGTTTTTTTCACTGCTGTGTGGGTATCACTGTCGTTGCTCTTGGTGCAGCCTGTCGTGTTGCTCGATTTGTTACCATCCGCTCTTGCCGTAGCCATCGGTATTCGTCTCGTTGTTGCTGGACCAGTGGTTTCTTCTGAGGGTCTGACGTTATCATTTCTTTTAGGAATTGGCTGGGGGTGGGCCAGATTCGAGGTCCCAGGGTCCTAAGCGCTTCCCTTGGGCGTCACACATGCGTCTTCGCTTGAGGAGCAGGTTTGAATTCCAAGAGTGCTTCGTGGCGTCAGGGATGCTCGTAGCGCCACCGGATCGCAGTGCTCGAGTTCGTCGGTCATTGTACTTGGCCAGAGCATTGCTTTCCCAAGGTGCACCGTCAATTCGCAATGCCTGGCGCGCTTGGTGAGGCATGTGTCGGTCCATGACCACTTCATCACGTATTACCCGTATTTGGTTAGAATACGTATGTGCTCGTTGCGAGCGTGATTTGCGGGTGTTTTCTCCAAATCTTTTATGTGTCGTTGTCGATTTGTGGAGGCGGCATTTATTATTCGTTATCATGTTCTTGTTCGTTTGACATGCGGCAAGAGGCTATGACGGCCATGCCCGACGAAGAGAGATGAGTAGAAGCGAAGCGACAATTAATTCCCAGCTTTGATACCCAATTTGGGACCATGACGGCGTGTATCTTTGGAGTCCAGGGGTTCTTCTGACCACAGAGTCGTTCTGGAACCGTCTTAAACATTTGCAGCTCTTTCGTCCGTTGCGTGCTAGAGCCAGTCATTGAGACGCGTCATGCTGAGGTACATTCGTTTTCTAGAAGCGTGCAGATGGGTTATGCGACCCATGGCCACGTATCCGCAAGGTGCCGTTGATTGGGTCCGAGCGCTTTGGCGGCGTGAGTTCGAACGTCTTGGGCGAGGGGTGATAGTTTGGCTGTTGCGCTGTCAGGTGTCATTCTATGGATTTGCCGATGATGTGAGGTAGAGGCCTCGGGCCTGTCCGGTCACCGTGCGCTGGCGGCCCCCAGGAAGTCTCCAGGGGGTCTCCCGCCTTTAGGTGCCTTCGGGGGGCCTCGGGGAGTCTCGGGGGGGGCCCTCCCCAGGAGAGCTGGGGACGTGCGGGGGGGGACAGGTCCTGGGCACCTGGCCAGGCGCGCGATTTGAGTCTGACACGGTCAAGCCGTTGAAAGATGATTCGCGATTCTTGGCCCTTGGGAGGCCCACGCGGCAGAAGGGCCCACGAACACCCAGCAATTCAAGCAAGTTGGTGCTCTGGGCCAACAACAAGCTACGGTATCTCTGCCTCTCCCAATTACATGAGTACCCTTTATGGGGCATTCCACTACGTGCCCAAGGCATGGTGTCGGACGTTTTCGAATGCAACGCCTTTGCCATGCGAGTCGTTGCATCACGTTCTTGTAATGCTTGCAGATGGTTTTAGTAGATTGCGCATTTCGATCGTATCAAGCTCTGTGGCATGTTTTTGGTTGGTGTTTTTTGGCATCTTGATCTCTCGTTATCTCTTTCTCTCTCTCTCTCTATCTCTTACTCTGGCTGCCCCCAGCTCTCCCCGTATTCGATGTGCGTATATACATATAGGTAGGTGCTTCTCTCTCTCTCTCGCTCTCTTTCTGTTTCTCTCTATATGTATAGGTATGTTTGGTTTTCCATCTCTCATTTTCTCTCGTCTCTGTCCTTCTGTTTTTTTTTTTTTCTTTCTCTCTCTCTCTCTCTTTACTCATCGCTCTCACTGTATACACACGTGTATAAACATACATGTACGCTATCTACAATGACACACGGACATAGACGGACAAAACTGTGTATACACATTCATATTCATGTCGAAGGCGCCTACGGCAAAGCACCGCCGCCCCTTGCCTTTTGGAAGCGCCTATGTGGCCGAACGTTGCGGCCAGGGATCGGCCAAGCTATCGGACTATGCGTTTCCCAAATCGTTGTAGAACACGAGGGGGAGAAAGAAGAAGGAGGAGAGGGCGGAAACGGAGGAGTGTGGAGGAGGAGGAGGATAAAGATGAGGAGGATGAGGAGGAATAGAAGAAGAGGATGTGGAGGAGGAGGAACAGGAGGAGGAACAGGAGGAGGAACAGGAGGAGGAGGAGGCGGAGGAGGAGGAGGAGGAGAAGATGGAGTTGAACGAGGAGAGAGGAGAGGAGGAGGAGGAGGATAGGAGGAGGAGGAGGGAGGAGGAGGAGAGGAGGAGGAGGAGGAGGAGGAGAGGAGGAGGAGGAGGAGGAGGAGGAGGAGGAGGAGGAGAGGAGGAGGAGGAGAGGAGGAGGAGGAGGAGGAGAGGAGGAGGAGAGGAGGAGGAGGAGGAGGAGGAGAGAGGAGGAGGAGGAGGAGGAGGAGGAGGAGGAGGAGCAGGAGGAGGAGGAGAGGAGGAGGAGGAGGAAGAGGACGAGGAGAAAGAGGAGGGAGAGGAGGAGGAGGAGGAGGAGGAGGAAGAGAGGAGGAGAAAGAGGAGGAGATGAGGAGGAAGAGGAGTGGAGGAGGAGGAGGAGGCGGAGGAGGAGGAGGAGGAGGAGAGCAGGAGGAGAGGAGAGGAGCAGGGGAGGCGGAGGCGGAGGCGGAGGGAGGAGGAGGAGGAGGAGGAGGGAGGAGGAGGAGGAGGAAAAGGAGGAGGAGGGAGGAGGAGGAGGAGGAGGAGGAGGAGGAGGAGGAGAAGGAGGAGGAGGAGGAGGAGGAGGTAGAAGCCTCTTGGGAGCCTCTTGGGGGGTTCCTGGGAGCTTCCTGGGGGCCTCTTGGAGGCCCCTGTGGGGCTTCCGTGGGCCTCTTGGAGGCCTTTGGAGGCTCCTCGGGAGGCTCTTTGGCCGTCTGAGGGCTTTCGTGGCCCGTCTGACGCCGTCGGACGCCGTGTTGCGTGCCTGTGTGGGCCGACCTGGGGCCCTGCTGGAGCGCTTCGGGGCCGTCTTAGAGGCCGTCTTGGGCGTCTTGGAGGTCTCCTGGGCCGTCCTGGGGCCCTGTTGCGGCCGTCTTGGGGCCGTCTTGGGGGTCTCTTGAGCCGTCAGGGGGCCATCTCGGAGGCCTCTTGGCCGCTCTTGGGGCCATCTTGGTGGCCCCTGTGGCCGTCTTGTGGCGTCGGAAAGCCGAACATGGGCAAATGTCAGTATCCTTCAACAATTTTCGGAACATCAGCGATTTTGGACTCTTCGGGCCTTCCTGGGGCCCCTTGGAGGCAGGTTGGGCCGTCTCAGGCGATCGTGAGGCCATCTTGGGCCCATTTTGGGCCGTCCTGGGTGCATCTTGGGCCGTCTTGGTGACATCTTGAGGCAATCTTGGGTTCTTCTAGGGCCATCGCAGCCTTCTTGGAGATCATCTAGGCCGTCTTGGAGGCCATCTCGAGGCCGTCTGGAGCGAGGAGACCGACGACCTGGGAAGTCCACGGGTCATTATTGCGTGCCGGCTGGTTGGGCCGAAGACCCATTATCCGCCGCCCCCTGTCGATTCATCGCAGGGGTGCCTGGTGTGCCAAGCTATTACGGTTTTGATTTTGGATTTTGGTTCTTTTTCCAAAAGAACTCCCCCTGGGGCTTCGGCCCGTCCCGCCGGCCACCCAGAAGGCGCGCAATTCTCGAAATTTGGCCTCCAAGATGGTCCAAGATGGCCTCCAAGTCCGCCCAAGATGGTCCAAGACGGCCTCCCATACGGCCAGGTCCTGCAGGAGGGCCCGAAGAGGCCAAAATCATTGATTTTCCTTAGGTTTTTGAAGGATTTTCGCATTCACTTCTTTCGACGGTCTCCAAGATGGCCTCAGGACTGCCCAAGAGGCCTCCAAGACGCCCAAGATGGCCTCCAAGACGACCCTGGAGCACCCCAAGAGGGCCCCAAGTCGGCCCAGAAAGGCCCCCAAACCGGCTTCCGACGGCGTCAGACGGGCCAGGAGCCCACCAAAACGGCCGAAGATGGCTCGAAGCTTGCCCAAGACGGCCCAAGAGGCCTCCAAGAGGGCCTCCCAAGAGGGCCTCCAGGAAGGCCAGAAAAGGCACAAGTTTTCGAAGGATTTTGACATTTGCTTCGTTTCGGCCTTCCGACGGCCCGATACGGCCCAAGAGCCCCCAAAGATCGCCCAAGGATCGCCCAAGAGGCCTCCAAGATGGCCCCAGAACGGCCCAAGAGGCCCCCAAGACGGCCCCAAGAGGCCCCCAAGACGGCCCAGGAGGCTTTGAAGACGCCCAAGATGGCCTCCAAGACGGCCCTGGAGCATTCCAAGAGGCCCCAAGTCGGCTCAGAGAGGCCCCCCAAACGGCTTCCGACGGCGTCGGACGGGCCAGGGGCCCACCAAGACGGCTGAAGATGGCACTAAGATGGCCCAAGACGGCCCAAGAGGCCTCCAAGCGGGCCTCCAGGAAGGCCCGAAAAGGCCAACATCATTGATTGCCCATGAGTTTTTGGCCTTCCGACGGCCCGAGACGGCCCAAGTGCCCCCAACGATCGCCCAAGAGGCCCAAGACTGCCCCAAGAGGCCCCCAAGACGGCCGACGAGGCCTCCAAGACGCTCAAGATGGCCTCCAAGACGGCCATCTCGGAGGCCCCCAAGACGTCCTCCAAGAAGGCCCGAAAAGGGTCAAAATGGCCTCCAGGCGACCAAGATGACCTTCAAGATGCCCACGTGTTCCCCGAAGGCTTTCCAAGTCGATTCGGGGAACACATGGTCCGATAGCTTGGCAGGTCTGGCCTCAACGCTCGGCCACATAGGCGCTTCCACAAAGGCAGGGGGCGGCGGTGATTCGCCGTTGGCGACTTCGATAACCTGTGGACCAGAAATTAATTACTCAAAGTTCGGCACGCCGTGCACCCCTGTGGCAAGCCAACAGGGGGCGGCGGATCGAAGACGCCTACGGCGAATCACAGCCGCCCCCTGCCCTTGTGGAAGCGTCTATGTGGCCGACAGCTGGGCTAAAG